TTACTAAGTGCATTACTACCATTAGTATATAATAATTATGGTTAACTCTCTTTGAAACCCGACAGCAAGAAAAAAGAAGATTGGTTAAGCATTTTATTTTATGTATTTCATGTTTATTGTTTATGTATAATTATAAAAGTAACTAAAATGTAAAAATAAGGATCCTTTAAGGTTTGTTAAGATTAGATTAGGTAAAATAAATAATAATAATATTATAATAAAAATGTTTTATGAGGCACACATGTGAGCAGCACGTGGGTAATGTAATTCATTAGTGTAACTTGAGCTGGACGTTCCTCTAGTGATTTACAACTTATAATGGCATAGATAGTAGTTAGACACAGTTCAAAGGGCAATAAAATAATAAAATTTAATTATAAATAGATGAATACTGTTACAAACTTAGAGCTACTCAAGATAAACAAATATAGTTTCATGTTACAATTTGAAGTCATCCTAGAAAGAAAAAAGGGATAACTTAGGTTTCTTTATATTTTTTTTTGGTGGTTACGAGGTTGACTACTTGTAGACTACTTAAGTATGGGAGGTATATATCCTACATGAACATATATCAATCAAAGATCCTGCCCTTGATAAACACAGTGTGTATGATATCACAATTTAATGATTTAATTCAATGTTTACAGAAAAAATGTTTGTGGAAGCAAACAGTCATCTCGATATTTCATACATTTTAAGATAGTTGATGTATGCTTCTAAAAGCAGGGCAAAGACCTTCTTGTAGACTGCTTAAGTATGGGAGGTATATATCCTACATGAACATATATCAATCAAAGATCCTGCCCTTGATATACACAGTGTGTATCATATCACAATTTAATGATTGATCTTCCAAACTATAACTACTTTATGCATATAAAATTTCTTTGAAATTAACTAACCAGTTGAATTGACTGATCCCATTTTGAGATAGGGTAGAGAAAGTAATAAATGAACTAGAAAATAATAAATGAACTATAAAGTTTTACTGAAAAAAAAAA